ATGGAATCAAATGAAATCAGCATTTGCAGTCACTAAATTACAGCCAGATATTTAAAAGTTTGTAGAGAGGCAAGACTCAAGAATGATTCAAGAATATATATTATTATATACTGTATATACTCATTTTTGCAATAACACATACAACATCGTAAAAAAGACCCCCTTTTCCATCAGTTGCTGCATGCACAGAAAGGCTTCAACTCCTGAGAGAGATAAAAGAGAGAGAGAGAGAGAGAGACAGAGAGAGACAGAGAGAGAGACAGAGAGAGACAGAGAGAGAGAGAGACACAGAGAGAGAGAGAGAGAGAGAGAGAGATAAAAGAGAGAGAGAAAGAGAAAAAGAGAGAGAGAGAGAGAGAAAAAAAGAGAGAGAGAGAGAAAAAGAGAGAGAGAGAAAGAGGGGGAAATAACTAATATATGCAGGGGAAAAAATCAATCATCCTATGATTAGAGTTTTGCGTCCGTTCACGGGACGTTCAAGAACTTTTCCATTAGTCTAAACACACACATAAAAACCACGTCATGGAAAAACAACCTCACACACACACACAGATCATCATGCAGATGTTATTACGACTTTAGACGTGAGAGAGAGAGAGAGATAAAAGAGAGAGAGAGAGAGAAAAAGAGAGAGAGAGAGAGAGAGAGAGATAAAAGAGAGAGAGAGATAAAAGAGAGAGAGAGAGAGAGAAAAAAGAGAGAGAGAGAAAAAGAGAGAGAGAGAGAGAAAAAAAGAGAGAGAGAGAGAAAAAGAGAGGGAAAGAGAAAAAGAGAGAGAGAGAGAAAAAGAGAGAGAGAGAGAAAAAGAGAGAGAGAGAAAGAGGGGGAAATAACTAATATATGCAGGGGAAAAAATCAATCATCCTATGATTAGAGTTTTGCGTCCGTTCACGGGACGTTCAAGAACTTTTCCATTAGTCTAAACACACACATAAAAACCACGTCATGGAAAAACAACCTCACACACACACACAGATCATCATGCAGATGTTATTACGACTTTAGACGTCATTTTTCAGTCTTTTTCTGAGATCCTGTGAACGTGACACAGTAAACTATCACGGCGGGAAAGTGTTTTTTATTTTCTCAGATGTGTGAAGAGTGTCGACATGCTTAAACTCGCAGCTTTGTGATGATTCTCCAGACAAATGCGTTATATTCATCCCAAAATCACAAGACAAACGGAAGAAATTACATTCTGCGTAAAGAAAATATAGCCTATTTTAGGACCATTAAGAGATAATTGTGTTTAATTAATGATTATGTTTTTGTATTTTGATTACAGTTCTTTTCAAGAAATTATTTTTAATAAATTATATTAACATTTATGCTGTTGTTAATTCTGTATCATTCATTTTATTTATTTATTTATATGGTTTATTATTGCATTACTGTATGAAAATGATATTTATATTACAGTAATAATTTGGTCTTGGAAACGTGTTTGATTGTCATGAAAAATACAGCACAATGCAAAAAAGCTTAATAATCCTAAAATAGTTCGTCATGCAAATTATATATATATATATATATATATATATATATATATATATATATATATATATATATATATATATATATATATATATATATAT